CATCTGCGTAGCTGAAAAATCACTCATGGACTGTCGTTAATTACAGTATTAGAAAACGAACCAAACTGCAGTTAGATTAATAAATTTTCAATCTTCGTTTTTTTAAATTGCTCATTTTTTGGAGATTTTTGTACTTCTAGATGTTCTCACGCTTGTTTAAAACACATTTGGAAGCCAAAAAAAAATGCTTTATTTTTTTGTCCCATGCACATAAAAAGCAGAAAAATGTTTCCTAAGCCTCTAGATAATAACAAGATTTGGGGGACTCCTTTGCACTTTCATGTTAAAATTTGAATGAAAAGAATATTTTTGTTTAACCCAAGAACTTTCATGTCTCGAAACCAGTTAGATCATTTGCCCACAAAAAAAGAAAATTCAAAACCGTAGATGAGTGGACTATTCAGTGGAGAATAAGTTTAGTCACTAATTAGGGGCATCCTGAGACATTTTTGTTCTCTGCATCTCTCTAGCAATTCCGATGAACTGCATTTCTGAGCTCTCAAATAAAGAAACATATTTTACAGCTTTGGACCACATCCAGCACGACCCGATGCTTCGGAGCCGGTGAGCACTTCGTTCAAGCTGGGCGATCCGGGCGCCATCCAGCAAATGTTTCAATTTTTCGGACTCTGTAAAGGACACGAATTGTGATCAGGCAGTTTTCCCGGCTCCAATGATTTGGTCGCGGAATCGCTATTACTTCTCGCGACCATTCAGCATTCCTCCGTGCACTCATGCCCATTGCTACTAAGAAACGCATCGCTATTCCGGGTGAGAAATGTGTGATTACTGCTCGCTGCATTTCTGATCGTTTCACTTTAAAAAAAAAGAGGAATAAAATACGGCGGCGCCAAAATTTTCAGTTTTTTTTTCTTTGATTTCATTCGTTTAAAAGGGAGATAATTTTTGCCTCTACTCAGTTTCATTTATTGATTCTTCGCGACTACAGTTTTTTGCGTTATTTCTTTTTGCACCATTTGGAGCAGCAAAATGAAGCCGTGTCAGTTGCAAACACCAGCAGAAAATCGGCGAATTGAAAAATGCGCGCTGCTTACGGAAGTAGCTTTATAGTATGACTGGCATTCTTGCAAATCTGAGTACTCCAGTTATTAATCTGAGTACTCCAGTTAAAAACACGTAGTTCGCTAGTGCAGGGGTTTAGCACATCGCATTTGAATATGAAAGCGAGAGGTCCGGTTCCCTCCATGTCCATACTCATTTGCAAAACGGAGACTATGTTTGCTGGAAGAATTTGCGCATGTTTGTAGTATGTATGTATATGGATATATGTGTATGTCTATTCGTGTATTTTATCACATAGTTTTACTCAAAGAAACACGAAAACTAGGAGAACTGAAAGTTTCAGTTTAGCTTATGCATTGACCCCAAGAATGGATTCGCGGAGACTTTTACAACTCGTTTTAAACGAGAAAGTTACAAGTTTTGAGTTTTAAAGATAGTCCAAAAGCCATATACGCTCCTCCAAAACTTGAACGAACTCACTTTCTCCGATCCTGTCCCGTGATCTCAGTTGCAGTACAGGCTAAACTAATAAATCCAAAACGAAGAAAGCTACGAATCTGAAAGATCGTTACTTTTTTATGTAATTATTTAGTCGCATTCTTCCATTAAATAAAATCTTATAACTGCATCAGTCCTCTGTTGTGGAATACCTCTAATTTGTTCATTTTGGTACAATCAGAAGAATATGGCCGCATGAGGTGAAGGCCAGGATGAGACGCAAAATCAGCTTACGCGAAAAAGCAAAAATTCGTCGCAAAAACTGCAACGGGCTGTGGAATCTCAGTTCAAGAATACGTGAAAACGCGATCCCCTCGAAGTTTCACATTTTTGAAGAACTCTTCCTTCCTGGTTTATTCAGTATTTTGGCTGCACAAAACAAATGTGAACATTGAAATTCGTGAAATTTCTATAGCAGATTTTTTTTCCCGCGATAAATTTCTAGTTATCGTCGGAGATCGAGGAGCGTTAGCGCTGTTTTTTCCTGAAACTGCATCAGATAACCACATCTGAAGGTGTGTTTTCTTCTCTGGGGAGAAAATATCTATTGCAGAGAGTCCAGGTGAGGAGCTGTGCATGTGGACGAGCAGAAGAAGGTTTGTTGTTGATAAGTGACTGCCATTGGCGCTGATAAAAGTCGCGGGGTGTGGGTTTCGATCGTTGTACTTTGCGTTGCTTGGCGTTCCAATCGCAACTTCGCATATCCATCGATCCCGATGGATTGCTTTTGCTTCGCTCCCGAAATGAGCTACCTCCCTCCCTCCTCCATTCCTCCTCCTCTTCTTCCCGAACCACTAGCGGTGAGTGAAATTTTGCTCCTCCTTCGCAACCGAGTTTGTTTTTCCTCGCCGTCACAGCTCTGTCTTTGCCATCCTACACACACGCACATCCTTCGACACCCTGGCCCAGTTTATTCTTCGTTTCCCGCATCCTCACCCCCGGCTTCCTTCGGCTGCCGGAGAAAGCCGTCTTCTGCTCCATGGTACTGATTCGGAATGATTGGCAGGTGCACCTGCCCAGAAATCGGTACGTTTGCTTCAGCCGGTCTGGCGTATGCTGCTTGGGAGGAGGGGAAGGGTTCCGTTCGACCTCACCTTTCCTGGATTATAATAAGGGCGCCATACTTGTGATGTCACAGCCTTGTATTTAAAGGTAAGGTAGAAGATCCGATGCTTTCGGCTTCTGGATTTTCTTACGTCTGCTTGCAATAGTTTTGCCTCAAGTTTATTGGCCTATCTAGTTCTGTAATGCACAGAAGAACATCTTTTGCGAGATGCCTTGCTTCATAAACGAAGCCGTAGGTCCCCACAGCTCGGCCC